TATATAATAATATAATATTAATAAAAAAAAGACAGACCTTTGGCTTCAAGAAGCAGCCCTTGTTTTAACTGGAAGAGGTTTTGGTTCATGTTTGTTTTGATCTCAAGAGATTTTTTTTCCTTTTTGAAGGCAAAAAGCAGTCCAGAGATGAACTTGGGGCCTTTTGCACATTTTTCTTGATTTCCTTTCCTTTTGCCCACCTGTACAAAGAGCAATAAAACCCTTTTCCCCCTGGAAAACCCTCCTCTGCTGGGAGGTTTGCTGGTGAGGACCCTCCTGGCCCCGTCAGGGTCTGCAGAGACCCCAGAATGTGCCGACGGGTCATCCCAGAGCCTGGCCGAGGGAGGGATGCTCTGCCCGAGGATCTCGGGGATTTATGCCCTGGGGGGAGCACCCATTGCATTAGACCCCCCAGTGCTGGGTGGCCGATGGGGTTTCAGGGACCCCGTTGAAGCAGCTCGTTATGCCAAGGATGCGTCTCGTTAATTAACGCTAACCCAGAGATCTCCAGCAGAACATTTCCTCTGGCTACGTGGCTTGAAGAAACCCAAGAAGGTTTTGTTACGGGGACTGGGGATCCTTGGAGGAGGTTTTCCAAACCCTACCTTTGTCCATCACTTTCCTGCCACAAAATCTGGATGAAATGGGAAAATGGAGAAGAAGCACGACTATAAATACCGTTTACATTCGTACCGTAGAGACCTGAACGATTCATGATTTCAATGCATATTCAGAGACCTTTGAAACCTGATATTGAACCCTGAGAACATATCTGCAGATGCTTTGTTTTGGCTATGCAAACAAATCGTTAAGACATCATTGCACTTTCTCTGTATATAACAAAAAAATAATCCATAAAGCTTATTCAAATATTCAAAAGAAAGGTGCTACTTTAAGACATTGGAGCATTTTTGTTCACAAAACCTTGTCTTTGCTGTAATTATTCTTAATATTATTTCACTTGGCTCATCTTTCACTGGCTGCTTGGCTGCTCTCTGGAAGAATAATATCCAAGAAAATATCTTAATTGTGAAATAACATTAATAAATAATTACTTTAAGTAAAAGGACAGCCATACTCATTTGTTAATGTCTGAAAAACATCACGACCGTGATGACATCATTTCAAAACTAAAATGTTTCTCTTTCACCAACAATAGATAGATTTCACATTTCATTCTCATAAGAAAAATATTAAACTCTTTGCAAGTGCAGTGAGCTGTAGAAACCAGGATCAGCAAAAGATCCTGCTTCGAAAGTTAAGGTGTCTACTTGTAACATCTGAAATTTGCTCAATATTTTGGATCTATTGATCTGTCTGTGGAAGAGCTCTTGAAAAGGAGATACAAATTAAGTCTTTTTGGGCTGGGCGGGAGACAGAAGCCTCCTCCCGTTATACCAGCGACTCTTTCACAACACGTCCCTTATCCCACGCTTTCGCTTCGCCAGGAGCATCTCGAGTCTCTGAGCTGGGAACGGGTGCGAGCCCAAAGGCAGGGGCTGTCCCCGCATCTGTCCCACTGTTCCCATAAATCTCGTGCATTTTGGTGGCAATCAGACCTTCCTTCTCGGGCTCGTCCTCTCTCAGGGCATCCTCGTCCTTACTGTGCCGGTACATGTAGGATGCCTGCTTCACGGACCGCCGCAGGAGGTACCTCCGGAAAGCCCTCTGGATTTTTGTAGCGCAGACTTCCTCGTGTTTCCTTTTCAGAGTGGTGGTGATGGGTTCATAGGAAACCTTGGAGGGGTTTGCAGCCATGAACTTCTCCTCCATGGTGGCCTTCAGGGCATCCATCTCTCCCGAGTCTCCAAGCACCTCCTTAGTCAGGGCAAAGAGGATATCCAGACAGTGGATTTTGTCCCCAGCAACCATTGGTAGATCCATGGTGATTAGTTTGATCTTGTTCGGCTTGGGAATCTTGAGCGGCTCCTGTAAGGTGTCCACAAAGTCAGACAAGGTGCTGTAGGCAATGAACTGGGTGGCGTCCGGGTCAAACTTCTCCCAGGTTTCATAAAACATTTCAAAATCATCTTCACAGAGGGGTTCACTGCTCTCCTCTGTGGCCACGTTGAAGTTCTCCAGGATGATGGCGATATACATGTTCACCACGATGAGGAAGGAGATGATGATGTAGCTGCAGAAGAAGAAGATGCCGATGGATGGGTTGCCACAGTCTCCTTTTACTGAGCTGCCAGGGTTTTCCAGCTCGGGGTCACAGTCGGGGGGACCACTGTTCAGGATGGGGCTGAGGAGCCCATCCCACCCAGCTGACGTGGTGATCTGGAAGAGGCAGATGATGCTGTTCCCAAAAGTTTCAAAGTTGAAGATGTCATCGATTCCTGCCTCTTTCTTTACGTAGGCGAAGTTGGACATCCCGAAGATGGAGTAGATGAACATGACGAGGAAAAGCAGGAGGCCGATGTTGAAGAGGGCAGGCAGGGACATCATCAGAGCAAACAGGAGAGTCCGGATGCCTTTGGCCCCTCGGATCAGCCGGAGGACACGGCCAATCCTCGCCAGCCTAATGACCCTGAAGAGGGTGGGTGACACGAAGTACTTCTCTATGATGTCTGAGAGGACGATACCTGGGAAGGGATGAAGAAGAGGTGAGTTTGCCATGCTCTACAGGCAACATAGTGAGGTGAGGTGGAGCTACTCCGCTCCATCTGCCAGGGTTGAGATGAGGCCACCCCTGATGGCACACAGCTCTCTGCTCCTCCAGCAGCAAAGGGAGGAGCAGATATTAAAAAAATATCTCTGAGCACAGAGCCAGTTTAAACACTGGCTGCTCTGTTTCATGGAGACAAGAGGAGCCCAACACCAGGGAGGAGCAGGACAGAATCCAAGCCCCTCACCCTGCCTGGTGACATGGGGTGGCCTCACATCCATCTTGTCCCAACTTGACCCTGCTTGAAGGGTGGATGTAGGGGGCTGGCCAATGACAGCTTGATAGCTGTGTATCAGCCAGACTGTTTCCACTCTTCACCATCCAGTGGGGCCACTGAGGAACCGGTGGAACCAGCAGGACTCACCTAAGATGGAGAGGATGACCACCACAAAGTCAAAGATGTTCCAGCCGATAGTGAAGTAGTAGTAGCGCAAGGCGAACATTTTGAGCACGCATTCTCCGGTGAAGATGACGATGAAGACCAGGTTGATCTTGTAGAGGACAGATGTTTTGAGTTCACTTTGATCATCTGTTTCGACCATCATGGTCACCATGTTAAGACAAATCAGGATCATGATGGTTATGTCAAACACTTGCTTGGTAACAAAGTCAAACACCATCCCTTGAAACTTGTTCTGCCATAAGGGCCACGTGGGTGATGGAGAACCAGAGGTGAGGTGGGAACACGGGACAGACACACACAAAACAAAGACACAAAACAGAAAAAGAAGAAGGAACCGTATTTAAAAGAGTGCAGGAAACCTCAGGGTTGTGGCCAGTACGCAGGTCTCATGGCCCCAAAGGCTATGGGAGGAGGATACCCAGCACCTTGCAGGATGAAACCCACTTGGTGACACCGTGGCCAGGAGGTGTTGGCACAGGGGACAGTTGCTTTCTAATTATATCCACAGCTAATGCATCAGGGCAAAAATAAACATATGGGGAAGGGCCTCGCTCGAGCAGGGCGATCAAAACCAAACCAGTCACAACTGTGTACATATTGGCTGGACCAGTGTCCCTGCCTTCCAGGAGTGTTGAAAGTTGAGTTTTCCCCGAGTCTGACTCCCTTCAAGAGAAGAGGAGCTGGGAGCTGAGCCAGGAGAAAACCCTGATCACTGCAGAGGGGATCCGTGCCCATGCCAGCAGACCCCAGGCTGAGGAGCAGACCCAGAGGACGTTGCCTGATGTGAACCTCCTCTGGAGCCCCAATTCTTAGCAAGATCCTTTCTGAAAAGTAGCAACAGGGAGCCAGGATTTGGCTCCTTGCCGTGGCAAATGGGCTCCTCGAGACCCTTACTTGCTTTGGGATGGTTTGTGGCTAGAAGTGCTCGCCCCCCACTGCACTCCGGGGTGATTAACCCAACGTACCGATGGCCTGGGGATGGGCTTCTGGGGTTTCTTGGAGCCGAGCTTCTTCATGGCATTATAATATTTCTTCTGCTCTTCTGTCATGAAGATGTCTTTGCCTCCAAAGTATAAAAGGAATCACCACCGTTAATCTTGGGAACTCACCTCTTCCAACCAAGCATCTCTGTCCCTGCTCCTTTCCACCAGCATCTCCTCCAAGCTCCTACCAGGCATCGCCCGTGGTATTGACTCAGAGAAAACTGCTTCCCTCCTGCTCACCCTCTTCTGCTTCCCCCAGTCCACAGCACCCATGGGTGCTCACCCCAGCACCGAGGTTTCCAGGTTGCAACAGTGGCTGTAGGACCCAGAAAATACTTATCTTTTTCTTCTGCTGGTTAAAGTTGTCGATGATGACGCCGATGAAGAGGTTCAGGGTGAAGAAGGCACCGAAGATGATGAAGATGACGAAGTAGATGTACATGTAGAGGTTGATCTCGTACACTGGCTGCTCTTCAATCTGACCAGGAGAGATGGGAAATGTGAGAAAAACCCTCTCCAGAAACCATGTCCCCGAGCCCCCGGACAAGGAGTCACTGTATCTGGACAGAGCCATGGGACGGCTGCTCCGAAATCTTCGGCAGATGCTGTGGGGGTTCAGTGGTCCCCGTGGGAACAGCCACAGGAAGGGACATCCATGTGACACCGGCTAGGGGACAAGGATGTGCTGACCCCCGATCCCACAGCATGGGCCGGGGAATAGGAAAGGATGCTCAGGTGCAGCGATATCAATGAGGAAATTTGAGTTTCCTCCCAATAATCAGCCTTCCAAGGGCTGAAATACCGCCAAGAGGGGAAAGGAAAAAGGCTTTAATTTGTGCCGCACCAGCACAGGGGGGTGGCACAGCCTGGCAGCCTCGAAAACGCTCCTCATCTCAAACACAGAGCAGAACTGAGGGATGCCCCTTGACTGCAGACATCCCAAGGTGTCATGACTGGCTCTCCTCATTTCGAGGGAAGCTCTTGGTAGAAAAGAGCAGATTTTCTCCCAAAGCAGCTTTGCCCCGGCTGTTCGGGGAGGCAGGAGCCCGAGCCGGTTGCAGGGGGAGCTGAGCGCCAGCAGCTGCAGCCGGGGTGAGCAGAGCGGCTGTTTCTGGTGCGAAAAAAAGGCAACGAAAACAGTCCGTTCAGGATGGGGGTGTGCAGGGCTGACCCCCTAGCAAGTTTTCTGGGTTAGAGAAAGGTAGGCAGTCCCTCGTGCTGTGTCAGCTCACGGCAGTAGGTGCACCCAGGGACACTTTTTGGGATGGATCAGAGCAGAAAGAGCCTCTGCATGGAATTCTTCAAAACTTTTTTTTTTTTTTAAATAACCCAAAGGTTAAATGCTGGCTGCTCTGCTTTAATAACACATTTACTGCTCAAGGCACTCTCTCCAGGACAGGGTAAGCTCTCCCAGGGGTCCATGGAGGGCATCATCTCGCAGCAGGGTGAAGGATGAGCCGTTCGGTGCAGAACCCTGGAGTCAGAGCGGGGATTTTGGACCATGAAGCTGAACCCCAGAGGAGTGGCTGGGAGGTGGGGTGGGAGCCCGGTGTAGGGCCAGGCTGCAGCTGGGATGCAGGTGACAATGGCACGGGTGGCACAGGGACACGACTGGCTGCCCTTCCTGAGGCTGTGCACCTCAGTACGGGGAATGTTTTGGGGATTTCTCCACTCTTTAGCCCATGTCCTGGCTGAAGCCATGGGTGGGGTGCAGGCAGCCCCCCAGCACCGATGGGCACGGCCAGATAGGATGCTGCAGCTGAGGGGTCCGTCCTCTGCTCCCAGTCTGCCCAGGGGGAACTGACCCGGTGGGACGAGCGATGCTTGATGCCCATTGTGAGACGTCCCCAGTCGTCCCCTCACCTCGCGCGAGTCCACGGCAGCGTACATGATGTCCATCCAGCCTTTGAAGGTCGCCTGCGGGGACAGCGGAGAGGAACAGAGTCACTGGGAGGGATTTGGGGCAAGGCAGGGAGGGCAGGGTGATGGGCGAGCGTTTGGGGTTTGGTTTGGGGGTTTAGCTCTGAGCACGCCCGCTCAGCTTCTCCGTTGGAATGGCAGGAGAGGGACCATGAGCTGAATCCACAAGGAAAATGCCGCGATGCAGAAATTTTCATGTGCACACACAAGCTCCGTTCTGTGGCTGAGGTTACCAGGGATGTCCCAAAACACTGCTGCAAACCAGGCTGGGAAAAGCAGCAATCGACTCTTTTTCCCCTGAAACAAAGAGCATTTTTCCAAGGGCAGAGCTGTGCTGGGGCTGGCTGCTCCTCTCGCTTCCAACCTGTGCCACCTCTGTAGCCCTGATTTCTGTCTTGCTGCTTCTGCGATCTGCTGGATCCCCATCCTTGTGGGGTGTGGGGGGGTACACTGCATCTTTTACAGGTTTTTGCTGCTGATTTGTTAAACAAAAACCCTGAACATCTTGTTTCCTGAATCTGATGGAACAACGAACCTGAAGAGGAAGCTAAATTTAAAGCTGGTTAAGCAATTTGGGTTACGCTGTGATTCTGCGACCACGAGCTCCTCTGGATCTGATGGGAGTAGCCCCAGCCCACCCCATAATGGAGCCCACACCTATATTTTTTATTAAAATTGGGGTAAGCAGTTCCCCTTCTGCTTGCCCGGCTCAGCTGTGGTGGGTTCAGTGGAAGCACAGCCGCCCTCGCCCACTGCCCCGCAGCGGATACACGCGCTCTTTTTCCAGTTGTCACCTTCCCCATGCAAAACTCTTGCAGCCTACGACTGCAGCAGACCGAACTTCTCAAATGGGCTGGGGGAAAAAAAAAGAAAGAGAAAGTGCCTCCCCTCCTTGCTGCTGCATCCCACTCTGTGCGGAGGATTTCCCTCAGGTCCGGGCTTGGTGCTACCTGCGCTCATCTGCAGCCGTTCCCTGGTGGCACCTTCCCCTCCCATCCTCTACCCTGTCCCTTTCTTCCTTTTTTTTTTTTTTTTTTTTTTTTTTGTGTTAAATACTAATTTTGGCGCTAAGGAGCAGCCAAGAGGCTTCATCTGTGCATCAGGGCAGCATCTCACTTCAGCCCTGATGCTAACCATGCTGCCCTGCTACGGCACCGTGCATCTTGGAGGGATGGCGGCTGCTCTCGTTACGTACCACCTGCAGCAAGGAGAGGTATCCCAAGCCCACGTTGTCGAAGTTGACCTTGACGTTGACCCATCTGACCTCGTTGGTGTGGAGCAGGGCCATGCAGTCGCTCTTGTTGTTCACCACACTGATGTCGAAGAGTTCCCCCGTGGTGGTGTTGACGCATCGGTAGTATTTCCCCGCAAAGAGGTTCACCCCCATGATGCTGAATATCAGCCAGAAGATGAGGCAGACCAGCAGGACGTTCATGATGGAGGGGATGGCGCCCAGCAAGGCGTTCACCACCACCTGCAAGGGGAGAAAAGACCTTGGAGGACCTGGCTAGGGAACCAGGCTAGCAATGATGTGGACCTTCATGTCCCTGTGCCCCAGCCTGACCCTCCCCAGCAGCACCCAGTGGGATCAAACTGGACCCCAGTACCTTAGCATCGACCCCATTGATCTGGGGGCCCCTGAAAACCACCTGGGATGGAGGTGACCACTGAGCGGTGCCATGTTGCATGTCCACGGCACATCAGCACACGGGGGAGGCACCTACCCTCATGCCTTCAAATCTGGAGAGGGCACGCAGTGGTCTCAGAGCCCTCAGCGTCCGCAGGGACTTGATGGCTCCCAGCTCTGAGTATCCCAGCCAGTTCGCTGTCAGGCTGACAAGGGAAACCTGGAAGGAGCAACTCAAGGGATTAGCAGTGCATCAGATGGAAACACAACGGAACCACATCCCGCAGGCTGGTGGTCATCGCCTTGTCTTGGGACATAGAGACATAGTCCTTGGGTCCCTGGTGACACCTGGAGGATGTCCCTGCCTCTTGGGTATGAGGGTGGAGGTGATGGAGGACGCAGAAATGCTGCACAGGTGGAATGGCATGCTGTGTCATGGAGAATTTGGGAGACCCTATGACCCTTCACATCTCTACTGGGGTCTAGGAGAACAGCGTGGGCTTGTTCTTGGCTTGAGCGTAAAACATAGGAAGGGTTTGAAAGGGTTTCTACAACCAGGGAAGGAAGTGGCCCTTCCTGTGGAGGACCATTATTTTAAGCAATGGTCTAAGCCCTCGTTCCACAGCCACCCCATTGTCCTTTAAAACACAAGCATGGGTTCATTTCCAAGAGCCTGCTACAAACCCCGAATGCTTCCAAATCCCTCAGCTACCTATGACCCTAGAGGTGCTCATCAGACAACACTTACATCGACGATGAGGAAATCCAGCCAGCACCACGCATTGGTGAAGTACACCTTGAAGCCGTAGGCCACCCACTTGAGCAACATCTCAAGGACGAAGACGTAGGAGAAGACCTTGTCGGCGTACTCCAGGATGGTGCGTATCACCTTCCGTTGTTCGATGTAGATGTCCTCAAAAGCCTGGAAGAGGTGTGGAGCTACGTGACAGTCATTCTTCCATTGGACCTGCTGCACGGCTCAGCGCAGCCCTGTCCACGCCTGCATTGTCCCTGCTGTCCTGGGGTTTGGGGCAGCTCAAAAAGTTGAGAACCTGGCTACAGGTGGCATTTACTGACACACCTGATCAATGTAGGGCCTGACTCTTGTTTGCAAGTTCTTGTTGGCTCTGTAGAGTGGTGTTTGTCTTGAAGCAAAGCTTCACTGCAGGTCCAGCTGCATCTAATCCCCACTGGTCCGTGCACAACCCAAACGCCAGGACACCAACCTGCACCTTTGGGTGCCCTGGTAGGTTTGGAAATGCTCGTAGGAGCACTTAGGGTTACTGATAGACCTCATGGCATGTAAAACATAAACAGCCAGAGGTACAGGCATGGCGACCAGGTGTTGCACAGCTGGCTTAGCACAGCTTTCGATTCCGGCACCAGCTACAACATCAGACATCCCCAAACAGCCCTTCAGAGCGTGATGCAGACACATAAAGTGTGTCTGAAACCCAGCTCAGTCCCTCTGTCCTCCTTCCCCCTCTCTTTACCCCCAAACCCGCAGAGAAGTTGGATTTCCCATGAGCTCTGTGTATTTACAGGTTCAGCTGCGTTATATCCAGCCCAGACACTCAGAGAGGACCCACAGGCTGGCACAGCTTTGTAATGACGTTGGCTTAAATGGGTGCCCAGGTTCTGGGAGGATGGACCAGTCAATGGCTGGAAATACTGAACAGCAAAATAATAACCATGAATTATTCATCCAGCACCTCCTGCCAGGCAGCTATGGAGGCAGTGAAACAAGGAACCATCCACATAACTCTGAGCAGATGGTGCAGATAGTTCACGGTGGACATCAAGTGCAGGAGGAGAAGGTGTAGGGGGTGGATCCCCTTGAGCCCATGGACCACAGCCCATGATGGGTGCTGGGGAGGGTTGTGTGGGGGTGACTGCACTGATGCAGGGCTCTGGGAGGATGTTTAGATCCCCTTGTAAGACAGAGCTGAGCCAAATGGGGCTTTAAATCAAACATCTGCCTACAGCTGTGTTATTCTGCACAGGAGAAGACAACCAGGCGATGCCCAGAGCCTCCGGTGCTGCTGCCTGCACCCTGCCCACGTTCCTGGGCTCCCCCCAAGCTGGGGTGCTGCTGCAGAGCAAAGGGGACACGGTGAAAGGTGGGACCTACCAGCGCCCCGCTGCTGAGCAGGATCATGAAGACGATGAAGGTCTCGAACCAGTCGTGCTCCACGATGCGGAAGCAGGTTTTCCGGATGTTCCACCACACCTTCCCTCTGTCGCTGGTGATGTCCACGTAGAGGCAGGGAAACCTCTTCACGCAGCCTGGGGGTGGGACAAAGAGCTGTGGGCTACCTCCTGGGCAGGGTGCTCCCACCAACGAGACACTATTCAGTTTTATTGTCATTTTAGGTGGAGGTTGGAGCAGAATCCCACTGGGCTTGGGGTGGGCATGCAAGAGGGGAGCCCCATGGGGACCATCTCCTTGGTAGTACAGGAGGATTTGGAGTTCGAGCTGAGCTAAGTGAGCCTGGGAGTTGTTCTGCTGGGAGAATTGGTTGGCAATGGTCCTTGCACATCCACCCCCTCCTCTCCCCGCGGTCCCCTGCCTTGCTCACCTTCGGTGAAGCACTCCTCAGGCTCGTTGCTGTCCTCAGCCTCTTCTGCCACCTCCTCCTCCACCGGCAACGGGGGCTTGTAATCCACGGTGCTGCACAGGGACGAGGCGTTGTCGCTGGAGAGGGGGTTCTGCAAAGGGAGAGGAGGATCCAGGAGGGGCTGTCCCGCAGAAGGGATGCTCCTGGGCTGCCTCCAGCCATCCTCCAGCTCATCCTGCCCCCCCAGAGACCAGCCAGGACCAGGGGAGCCAGCTGGTGGGACCCCCTAGCATGAATGTGGATGCCCCATCCCTGGAGGGGTTCAAGGCCAGGCTGGATGAGGCTTTGGGCAACCTGGGCTAGTGGGAGGTGTCCCTGCCCATGGCAGGGGGTGGCACTGGGTGGGCTTTAAGGTCCCTTCCAACCCAAAACTTTCCATGATTCTGTGGTACCACAGCCCTGCAGAAACCTGGGCAGCTACCATGGTGCTTCTCTCGAGTCCTGCTGGCTCGGCTCGTGCTGACAGGCTTTTAGGGTGAGGTTCACTCAAGTTCAAAACCTGCATCCCAAGTACCTCCATCCCACCCCACAGCTCAGCTTGGCCAGCTTCCCAGACACCACTCAGCAAGGCTTGGGAGGGCTGATGAGAGAAAACCTTGGTTTTTTTTTTTTTTTTTTTTGGGGAGGATGGTAGCTTTCCAAGAAGACCTTCTACAGAAAGAGAAGATCCCCAGACCTGCCTGTCCTACCTGGGAACAAATGATTTTGGATGGGCATCTCCAGTGCAGGATGGCGTTGGCTTGCACAGGAAGGAGATAATCCTCCCCCAAGGCCACCAGTGCTTTCCGTAGTGAATAAAGTGGCTACTCCATCCTCCAACAAGCCAGGGAAGACCCCCCGGGGTAATCTGAGGCACCATCATTGCTTGTATCTTCAGGGGCCACAGCCACATCTCCATAGGACATTGCTTTGGGGGAGACCCGCAGCCTGGGTGCTGGGGACACTCAGGGCATGGCCATGGCAATAGAGGTGACACGAGCTGAGGGTGGCGGCTCTGCAGGAGGAGTGGGGACTGGGGTGGGGGGGACAGGAGGGGCAGGGGGATTAGGAGGCTTCGTCATGGAGCCGGGCGAGCTGTGACCCCAGGGAAGGACACACAGAAACCATCTGCCTCCAGGACAAGCCTTCAAAGGCACAAGGTGGGAATGAAGCAGCCCAGTGGCCCTGGAAATGGGGGAAAAGGTGCCCAGGACAGGTCCTCTTGAGGAGGGGACAGGGATGACTGTGGTGGTCTCACTGCACTGTCACCAAACCCCATCTCTGGAGGCTCCCAAGCCCTCATCCACCTGCAACCAGCAGGTTTTCAGGGCAATTTCCATCGTACAGCACCTCCAGCCTGGCTGGGTGTTTCCACCCAAATCCAGGGCTTTCCCCACCCTTGCCAGCACCGAGCACCAGCATCCAGGGGCTGTGCACCCAGGGTCACCCTGTGACCCCCATAACTCAGCACTTGAGGATACTCCTGTGATGCACCACAACCCAGAGCATCATTTTTTCCCCTTCTTTTTGGCTTTCTGAGAAGACCTTCTGCAGCACTTGAGGAAAGAGAAGATCCCCAGACCTGCCTGTCCTACCTGGGAGCAGATGATCTTGGACATCACCCTGCCTGGCAGGACGGGGGGGCTGAGGCAAGAAGCCCCCAGGAAGACCCTGAGCCACAGCACTAACTCTTTGCACAGCCATGGCACACCACCCTGCCCTTCCTATCGCCTCCTCGCTGCTGCGCGGTGCAGAAGATAAATCACCCATAAGATGCAAAAGCTCTCGTGGAGAGCGGCTGCACTGCTGCCATCACCCTGCTGCCATCATTTCACCCTGAAAAAATATCTTTGCCTCAGAAAGGAGCTGCTCTGGGAGGGGGAGAGCGTTTATCAGCATTTTCCGAGCAGCCCACCTGGAGAAACCCCCCCAGATGGCAACCGTCACCAGCAGCCCGTGTCCCCGGCGGTGTGCTGGGCTTTGGCTCCATCTGGAGCTAATCAACAGCATGGGAACGCACCGAGCCAGCAGCAACCTTCCCCAATTTCTCCCACCAATTAGCACCCGACTTCTAATTACCAGGCAATGATTTCACATGATGACAGCCAGCCCATCGCCTGCCCTGCCTGTTTGGGCAGGGGCCGGGTGGTTAATGCACCCCCCCAGCTTGCACCTTGGTAAACATTCGACTGAATTTAGCCACCAAAACCAGCAGCGGTGATGGGGTGAACTGGTTTTCAGTGGTTGAGACACACTGTTTGTCCCCTGCACACAGCCAGGGGTGGCTCTCAAAACAAGCTCCCCGCAGGGTGTTGGAGCGGGTGCCGCTAGATGTCAGCTGAACACGGTCCTGTAACGCCAGAGCCACACCGGGACACGTCCTAGAGTCACATACTGAGGTTTTCCCCCATCTGCCGGGAAGCACATCGTGGTGGCAGGGAACTGAGGTCCCCGGGGACCCCACAGACCAGGCTGGATGTGACCCCCCACGGTGGCCAGGTTGGCATGAGCCCAGAGAAGCTGTGGATGACCCATCCCTGGAGGGGTTCAAGGCCAGGCTGGATGAGGCTTTGGGCAACCTGGGCTGGTGGGAGGTGTCCCTGCCCATGGCAGGGGGTGGCACTGGGTGGGCTTTAAGGTCCCTTCCAACACAAACCATCCTGGGATTCTCAGATGACTCTATGATGATTGCCTCTGTGCAGCCTGACTGTACATCCAGTGTGCTACAGCGTGTTGCACCACGGTGTCTGTGGGTGTACTCAGGATTAGTGCAACTGGACTGGATTTGTAGCAGGAAAAAATGGGGGAAAAATGCCAACTCTCAGCCCTCCTGCTGGCAACACTAAGGGGAACAACAATAGCAACTCCCCTCGCTCCTGTCCTTGGCCAAGGCGC